TTTTTTTTTTTAATTTTTTTTTTTCAACGTTTATTTATTTTTGGGACAGAGAGAGACAGAGCATGAACGGGGGAGGGGCAGAGAGAGAGGGAGACACAGAATCGGAAACAGGCTCCAGGCTCTGAGCCATCAGCCCAGAGCCCGACGCGGGGCTCGAACTCACAGACCGCAAGATCGTGACCTGGCTGAAGTCGGATGCTTAACCGACTGCGCCACCCAGGCGCCCCCCTAAAAAAGCTTTTAAACACAAAATACATTTATGCCCTAGCCCTGGTCTAACTGAACAATAACAATCTTTTAGGAATAGAGGCCAGGTACTCTGACTGCACTTCAGGGGATTCTGACGCAGCCAGTTTGTGTTTTGTAACTACAGTCTTAGATTATCCCCTAAGTCAAATCCACAGACATCAAATCCTAAGACATCAAGTCCACATTACTCAAAAAGTTATCAGCAATTTTGTACACCCCTGCTAAGAATGCTGTACCTTGTGACTATGTGTTTCTGAGTTTTCTTTTTAAAATGTTTATTCTTTTTGAGGGAGAGAGAAAGAAGAGAGAAAGAAAGTGAGAGGGAGAGAAAGAGAGCACACGGGGAAGAGAGAATCCCCAGAAGGCTCTGCACTGATCAGATGAGGGGCTTGAATCCACAAATCATGGGATCATGACTGAGCCGAAATCAGGAGTGGGATGCTTAACCGACTGAGCCACCCAGGTGCCCCTGAATTCTCTGATTTCTAATCTGTTCCTCTTAGTACAGGTATTTTAAAACTTATAGTCTGTATACAATTACATTCATAAGATAGAAAATACAAAAGGTATAAAAGCATATACATGGAAAGTCCCTCTTTATCTGATTACCGGCTACCCAATTACCCTTTAGAGGCAACTTACACTATTTTTTTGTGTATACCCTTAGAATCAATCCATGCATATAATAGTTAGGCATACATCTATACACACATTTTTTTTTTAATTTTTTTTTTTCAACGTTTATTTATTTTTGGGACAGAGAGAGACAGAGCATGAACGGGGGAGGGGCAGAGAGAGAGGGAGACACAGAATCGGAAACAGGCTCCAGGCTCTGAGCCATCAGCCCAGAGCCCGACGCGGGGCTCGAACTCACAGACCGCAAGATCGTGACCTGGCTGAAGTCGGATGCTTAACCGACTGCGCCACCCAGGCGCCCCCCTAAAAAAGCTTTTAAACACAAAATACATTTATGCCCTAGCCCTGGTCTAACTGAACAATAACAATCTTTTAGGAATAGAGGCCAGGTACTCTGACTGCACTTCAGGGGATTCTGACGCAGCCAGTTTGTGTTTTGTAACTACAGTCTTAGATTATCCCCTAAGTCAAATCCACAGACATCAAATCCTAAGACATCAAGTCCACATTACTCAAAAAGTTATCAGCAATTTTGTACACCCCTGCTAAGAATGCTGTACCTTGTGACTATGTGTTTCTGAGTTTTCTTTTTAAAATGTTTATTCTTTTTGAGGGAGAGAGAAAGAAGAGAGAAAGAAAGTGAGAGGGAGAGAAAGAGAGCACACGGGGAAGAGAGAATCCCCAGAAGGCTCTGCACTGATCAGATGAGGGGCTTGAATCCACAAATCATGGGATCATGACTGAGCCGAAATCAGGAGTGGGATGCTTAACCAACTGAGCCACCCAGGTGCCCCTGAATTCTCTGATTTCTAATCTGTTCCTCTTAGTACAGGTATTTTAAAACTTATAGTCTGTATACAATTACATTCATAAGATAGAAAATACAAAAGGTATAAAAGCATATACATGGAAAGTCCCTCTTTATCTGATTACCGGCTACCCAATTACCCTTTAGAGGCAACTTACACTATTTTTTTGTGTATACCCTTAGAATCAATCCATGCATATAATAGTTAGGCATACATCTATACACACATTTTTTTTTTAATTTTTTTCAACGTTTTTATTTATTTTTGGGACAGAGAGAGACAGAGCATGAACGGGGGAGGGGCAGAGAGAGAGGGAGACACAGAATCGGAAACAGGCTCCAGGCTCCAAGCCATCAGCCCAGAGCCTGACGCGGGGCTCGAACTCACGGACCTGGCTGAAGCCGGACGCTTAACCGACTGCGCCACCCAGGCGCCCCATCTATACACACATTTTAAAAGACATTCATATCAATACATAACGTCCTTTTTCATTATTTTACAGCTAGATGTAATGCAATGACTATGCCATAACTAAATTAACTGGTGTCCTACTGATAGAACATTTAGGCTGTTTTCAATGTTTTACTATTAAAAAAACATGCACAACAAATAAAACAATGCTTCAATGAATAACCTTAGTACAGTTAATTCCTTTTTTAATAAAATTTTTTTTTTTTTTTAATTTTTTTTTTTTCAACGTTTATTTATTTTTGGGACAGAGAGAGACAGAGCATGAACGGGGGAGGGACAGAGAGAGAGGGAGACACAGAATCGGAAACAGGCTCCAGGCTCTGAGCCATCAGCCCAGAGCCCGACGCGGGGCTCGAACTCCCGGACCGCGAGATCGTGACCTGGCTGAAGTCGGACGCTTAACCGACTGCGCCACCCAGGCGCCCCAAAAAATTTTTTTAACGTTTTTATTTATTTTTGAGAGAGAGAGACAGAGTACTAACAGGGGAGGGGCAGAGAGAGGGAGACAGAATCAGAAAAGCAGGCTTCAGGCTCTGAACTGTTAGCATAGAGCCCGACACAGGGCTTGAACTTGTGAACCGCAAAATCATGACCTGAGCCAAAGTTGGATGCTTAACTGACTGAGTCACACAGGCACCCCAATACAGTTAATTCTTGATTATATATAATAATGGGGAAATAAGGCAGAATTTAGAGTTCAAATAATTGGCCTATAAAACAAACAGAAAAATGCAATGTTTTCATTTCTTTTTACACTGGGGTGCTGGTAAGGTTTCAAAACTGTCAGAAAGACGACAAAATTCTGGAGCTTACATTACCCTTTCTAGTTAATCCTAATACACCACAGGCAACCACTGTTCTGATTTCCATCACCAGAGTTTTCCGTCTGTGAACTTTAATAAAAATCAGCCAGCATGTATTCTTTGTGTATGGCAAAATTCTTTTGCTCAACCAAATGTTTTTGGGGTCCTTCCATATTATGTCTAGTATTATTAGTTCTTCCTGTTTGTTGTTGACTATTATTCTATTTTGTGAATACCTCACAATTTTTCTTCTATTCACTTGTTAATGGACATTTGGGTTGTTTTCCATTTTACTATTATGAAAAAAGCTGCTATAAACATTGTAATACATGGCTTTGTAAATATTTTCATTTCTCTAAATACTTAAGAGTATAATTGTTGGGTAATAGGGTAGATGCATATTTAACAAGTTCCAGAGTTTCCAAAGTGGTTGTACCACATTATACTCTCACCAACAGTTTATGACTAGCTACTTCACATCTTTGCCAACAGTTGGTGGCGTTAGACTTTAATTTCAGCCATTCTGGAAGCAGTGTTTCATTGTGGTTTTAATTTGCATTTCCCAGATGATAAATAAGGTTAAGCACCTTTTCATGTGTTTACTGGACATTTATATAACTTCTTTTGTACAGTGTTTACTCTCATCTTCTGTCCATTATTTTTAATTGGGTCATTGGTCTCTTATTATTGATTTATAGGAATGATTTACAAAGTATATTCTGGAAACAAGTCCTTTGATGTATGTACTGAGAATATTTTGTCCCAGTCTATGCTTTGCCTATTAATTTTCTTAATGGCTTGTCTTGATGAGTAAAGATTTTTAATTTTGGTGAAGTCAAATTTATCAAGTTCTTTTCTTGTGTTTTTCATATCCCTTGGGAGAAATCTTTGCTTATCCCAAATAATAAAGATACCTTTTTGTATTTTCTTCTAAAAGTGTCAGAGTTAGTTAGCTTTTATGTTTGGGTCTATGATCTATCTCAAATTAATTTTTTTGTGTGTATCATGTCAGATAGTAGTTAGGTTCATTTCCTTCCGTAAATAGACTAACCAATTGGTTTAGTACATGTTCTTGAAGACTTTCCCCTATTGAACGGCTTTGATACTTTAGTAATAAAAAAAAAAAAGACTGAACATATGTAAGTCTATTTCTGGAGTCTCTATTTTGTTCCATTAATATATTTGTGTATCTTTAAATCTACACTTTTTTTTTTTTTTTTTTTTTTAAGTTTATTTATTTACCTTGAGAGACAGGGAAGGGAGAGAACCATAAGCAGTCTCACCATCAGCACAGAACCTTATGCAGGGCTCAGTCCCATGGACCAGATCATGACCTGAGCTGAAATTAAGAGTCGGATGCTTAACTGACTAAGCCACTCAGGCACCAATGGCTTTATATTAGTGTAAGGCCTCTAACTTTATTCTCCTTTTCATAAATTTTAGAATCAATTTGTCACTTTCTAGAAAAAGGCTTGTTGGGATTTTGATTGATACTGACCTTGAATCTATAGATCAATTTGGGGAGAAATGACAGTATTTTCACTTCTTCACACAAAATTTTTTTTTTAATGTTTATTTGTTTTTGAGACAGAGACCCAGCATGAGCAGGGGAGGGGGCAGAGAGAGGAGATACAGAATCTGAGGCAGGCTCGAGGCTGAGCTGATAGCACAGAGCCTGATGTGGGCCTCGAACTCACAGACTGTGAGATCATGACCTAAGCCAAAGTTGGACACTCAACCACCTAAAACCACCCAGGCACCCCATATAATCTTGACTTCTTAATTAGTAATTTCCTGGGGTATCTTTCAAAAAATGGACTTCTGAGAGAAAAAAGATCCTAACCTAGGAACTTTTTATCTTTACTTTGAAAACTCCCCTTTTAAAACCTTTTAGCAGTACCAGGTTCAAGATGAAAAAGTGAATAGGAAGAAAAGATTAAAGTGGGTCACTTGCACCAGCTTTCTACACAATAGATTATAACAGTCAAGCTTCTCTGTTATGAAAAATTGTCAAGGAAAAATATTTTATTTTAAAAGCACACAAAAGACACTTCAATTTCCATGCCTTTGTTTAATTTTACCCTAAAAGTTTCTTAACATGGGGAGAAATAAATACAATTTAATTTAAAAGGAAAATCTAAAAATTAAAGGTCAATTTACTTGTAAAAAATCAGCAGCAATCAGTTCAATTTAAGACTCACTTTCTTGCTTTGTTGAGTAACAATAAAATTCTGAGTATGAAAATTGCCATGTGTGAATGAATTCCAGGCAATATAACAACAGTAATTTGGAGAATATATCATACATACTCTTTTACACTGCTTTAAGTTGTTTTTTGAAAGTGCATGTTATCTTACATATATAGATATATCCCTAAAAATATGATAATCATCAGACCTAATTTCCCTCACAAGCCTAGGAAGGATAATTCAACAACTGAAAAAACAAAGCAAAACAAAACAAAACCCCAGAGAAATAAAAAACTAAGGTATACTGAAAGTATGTTCATTATATAAATGTATGATGAATGTAAAGATTTAGTTTCTCATACTTAAAACACTAATTTCTTACTCATTAGGCTGAAATTCTCATTGTAGCCCAAATCCTACGCTCCATATGTTGGGTATGTTTCATCACGTCTAACTAATAAGGTGAAATTAATAAAAATAGGTACATTTTTAAATAAACTCAGGGGTGCCTGGGTGGCTCAGTTGTTAAGTGTCCGATTTTGGCTCAGGTTATGGTCTCATGGTTAATGAATTTGAGCCCTTCATCGGGCTCTCTGCTGTCACCACAGAGCCTGCTTCGGATCCTTTGTCCCCACTCTCTCTGTCCCTCCCCAGATCATTCTGTCTCTCAAAATAAATTTAAAAACTTAAAAAAACAACCCTCAAAATAGGAAAAAAGTACAAATAAGGCTCAACTGAATAGATTTTCTAACATTTTTTGACTTATCTTCTCTGTTGAAGACTATTATTGTATTAAAAGTGTGTGTGTGTATATATATATGTATATATAGATGTGTGTATATTAAGAGTATATTAAGTATATTAAATAGCAGTTAGGTTCATTTTTTTCCATATAGACCATCCAGTTGTTTTAGTACCAGTTCTTGAAGACTTTCCCTACTGAACTGCTTATATATATTTATATATATGTACTATATATATTTCATTCACTCATTCATTCATTCATTCATTCATTCAGAGAGGGCGTGCCTGTGAGCAGGAGAGGGACAGAGAGAATCCTAAGCAGGCTCCATGCCCAGTGCAGAGCCTGATATGGGGCCATGACCTCAGCCAAAATCAATAGTTGGACCTACTGAGCCACCCAGGCACTCCAAGAATTTTTAAAAGTATGTTAAACGTTCTTTGGTGTGTGGCGTATAAATAATAAATAAGTGAACAAATTTGTAAGTGTGTGCCTGGTAGCTATGTAACTCTTCCACTGTTGTAAGTAAAGGAGATATTGTTTTGACTTGAGTGAAAAATTAACTCCCGTATTATTCAGTGAAGTTTCTCTTTAATCATGGGGAGAATAAAGTTAAACCCAATGGTATTAATCAGAAGTGCTGAAGGCTACAAAAAATGAATACCTATTTTTTAATACAATAAGGATTTTTAAAAAATCAGGAATGTTTTATCACCACGGTTTTTTTCTATTCTTTGCCACATTTTTTTAAATGTTTGTTTATTTTTGAGAGAGTGAGCGAGAGTGCAAGCAAGAGCAGGGGAGGGGCAAAGAGAGAGAAAGACAGAGAACCTGAAACAGACTCTGAGCTGTCAGTGTAGAGCCCGATGTGGGACTCAAACTCACAGACTATGAATTCATGACCTGAGCTGAAACAGAGAGTCAGAAACTTAATCAACTGAACCACCCAGGGGCCTCTCTTTGACACACCTTTTAAAATATACTTATTCTAGGAGCTGCTGGGTGGCTCAGCTGGTTGAGCGTTCAACTTTCGATTTTGGCTCAGGTCATGATTTCAGAGTTGTGAGATCCAGCCCTGAGTTGGGCTCTGCACTGGATGAGGAGCTTGCTTAAGATTCTCAGTCTCTCCTTCTGCCCCTCTCCCCCATTCGCTTGCTCTCTCAAGTCAAAAATTAAATATATATATTAAATTTAAAAAATCAAATTAAAATTTAAAAATACATAAATTGTTCTGAATATATTGTTAAAATTAAAAATATATATTCATCCTAAAAAATAAATAAATAGAATGTTTTTATCCTACTTATTGACTAGTAGTAAAGCAGACCCTTGATAAAGTGACTCAGGATGTCTATTTACATCTCAGAGGAGCAGCTTCCTTTAGTGTACAAAAGCAAGAACCGGGATTCAAAATCTCAAATCAGAAACCCCAAACAACATGAGCAGGACTACCTGGAATGACATGGCAAGCCCTGCTCATGACCTTTAATAGAGAGCTGATCCATGGTTACCTGGTACACAGGACTTGGGGTTGTAGTCACCGAATTGGGTTTCACTTCTACTTCCTTACTTGTTTCTTCATCTGAAGAAGAGGATCCTGAATGATAATCAGAGGTAACTTTATCAAGGGCCCTAGTAACTTTCTTGGAGATTTCATCCTTGTTCTCATCCTCATTTTCAAAGCTGGCAACAATGAATGCATTGTTTTTCTCTCCATACCTAAAAATTAAAAAAACAAATTCACACACCTTGAAGCACTATCAACAAAAGCAAGAAACTGTCCATAAAAACAATTAAACAGGCTTGGACATGCCATTGGTCCAAAGCAAAGAAGGAACACTCCCAGAACTTAACCCTACGTAACCCACCTATAGGCCAACAGGTCGGCCATGATTTTCTACTTCTGGCCTACTTACGTGCAAATAATAAGTGATTCTATTCTCTTCAATTTTCTTTCCCACTGCCTCCTAACAAAAATAGTTGTTTAAAATATCTATGAGAAATTCACTGTTTTGATTACATTTTTGTATGTACCATTAACCTGGCTTATATAGTAAGATTTTCTAATGTATTTTTAGCTGACTACTATAATATAGATACTAGTGATTCAAGTCACAAATCAACTGGACATTTCCTTTGAGATTTACTTTACCATTATTAAATTAAAAGAGGGTCTGAGTTGCCTATATCCACACTGACAAAAATGAGAACTAAGACAACTGGAAAACAAACACTACTGTTGAGGAAAATAAAGGGGTTTTGCTTGAATTATATTGCTTACCAGGAAAACTTCTCATCTTAATTTTTTGAAAAAAGTAAAATGAGCCTTTTAATTCTGCCAAAATATTTTTAAAGCCTTGAGCTAAGAAAAATAATTGGTATATGTAACTTTGGCTGTTGATTACTAAAAAAAAGGTGGGAGGGGGGCACATGGGCAGTTCAGTCAGTGAAAGCGTCCAACTTTGGCTCAGGTCATGATCTCAGTTTGTGGGTTTGAGCCCTGCATGGGGTTCTGTACTGGTAGCTCGGAGCCTGGAGCCTGCTTTGGATTCTGTGTCTCCCTCTCTCTGTGTCTCCCCTGCTTGTGCTCTGTCTTGCTCTGTGTCTCTCAAAAATAAATAAATGTTAAAAAAAAAAATAGAAACAAGAAAAGGAAAATAAATTCTGCAATGAGGGAAAATAACATAAAGAATAGTCAAACCAGTAGTTTTTATGTGGAGCATAGGAGAAACCCACAAATTTATTTACATAGACTACACAGCATATACACTATGAAACTATTTCTAGGAAGTGTTAAGAACAAAGGAAATGGGATTGTTAAGCAGTTCTTATACAACATATGATTAAAGTTAGAAAGACAAAGTGATTTTAAGCTTAAAAAAACAAAAACAACCTTGACAGAAAAACAGGGTTTATTTTAACTATGTAAATTAATTTCATTTTGAGATAATCCTTATCTCAAATTATTTCTGAATCAGGATATGTACAATAAGTAAAAGGCCAAACTGCAATAAAGCCTTTGAAAGTTTTACAGAAATCATGCAGTCTCACAGGTGAGTTCTATTTCTTTAGATAGCTGTGCTGTCTTCCATTCTCACACAGGCTGAAAGGGGGCCATAAATGCTACCTAATATGGGACATAACTCCCTTTTCTATTCTTTTCCAGTTTACTTCATAAAAAGAGTTGCTAGATGGTGGAAAGAGCACTGAACATGTTTCTGGTTCTGGCTCTCCCACTAACTAGCTCTGTAACAAGGGGCAAGTCATTTAACATGTCTAGGCCTTGGTTTTCTGTCTGTTAGGCAAGAAAGCTGAGAGCTGACTGGGTACTGGCTGGTTTTCAGCTAGTGATTCTCTGCTATAAGATGCCTGAGAAGCTGGGCAAATTGTTCACAACACAGAATTCCTGTACTATAATTTCAAGTTTAAAACTATAATATAGTTTTAGCAATGGAAATTTACCTCTCCATCCTGCCCGTATATTAAAGACTCAACACATTTCAATACAAAGCTTAATTCATGTTAATAATGCCAGCAATATTAACAAGGGGCTTAGGCCAACCTTCAGTTTTTGCCCACTAATGGAGTCAAAATTCAAGTAAAACAGAAAGGCAGGCAATTTGAGAAAAATCCCTGCCTCTGTAGAAACTGAAACCTAAATCAAGGGCAGACATCTAATGAAGGATCAGCTAGTTCAATTAGGTTCTGCATCTTTCCCTCTGTAGTATTTTGGGTATGAGGGTTCTCATATTAAGTGAAGCTGTTGATTATTTTAACATTAGAGTGTGTAGTTAATGCCTTACAATTAGTAACGGACAACTTTTAAACTTTCCATTTTTCAACCACATGCTGCTAAACATTAAGTCCATTTAGTTAATTTGAAATACATTAATAGTGTCTAATGCTCTGGATCAGGAAAAGGATAATAGAAATTCTAAAAAAAAAAAAGGTATAGAATGTTGAGTGGATAATAAAGCTGCCACCCATTCGCAGGCATTCTCTTTGTAGAAAGGATCCATTATCTATTTTGTATCTCCTCACATAGTTCATTAAACAATAACCTTTTAACTACACCAACAATCCTTGCACACTTCCAATATTTTATACTGATGGAATAACTCAGTCATACTATGAAGAATGTTCTTTTTGAGTGCATTTCAATTTTTTCATAACTTTAGTCTCTAGTGTACCAATGAGTTATTATTAATGACTCAGATATTTGTTCTATTATATAACTGCTAGATCAGCTTTAATTTTCAGAATGTTTATCTCTATAGTTTTGGTCCCAAAGTACTAATCAATATTGCAATCTTCTCTATTAACTTAGAGCAATCACCTCTACTCAATCACTAGCACATCTTTCTTTTTGGAGTTCTGTTATCACATAATGAAGATGATTTCTTTTTGTTGTTGTTGTTAGCTAGCGCAGAGCACATCATGGGGCTCGAACCCACAAAACTGTGAGATCATGACCTGAGCTGAAACCAAGAATTGGACGCTTAACCTACCAAGCCACCCAGGCGCCCTTGAGGGTGACTTCTATTAGCTGTGAAAAAATATCACATCACAGTCAATTGTTGGCAAAATTTTACTTGTATGTAAAATTATTATAAAGCTACTGAATGCAAAGATTTTCTTATATTAATAAGATGAACAATAATTTTTCATTATCTGGCATTATTAAGCAATGAAGTATCCACCTAAGTAGAATATCTATTTAGAGTTTTCATCTTCAGGTGTCAAGATTTAGCTAAGTCATTTCAAATAAATATGTCCAAAATGTTTATACAATTATCCAACCTTTTTTTAAAATTTTTAAAAATATTTATTTGGGGGGCAGGGAGAGCACAAGCAGGGGAGGGGCAGGGAGAGGGAGACACAGAATCTGAAGCAAGCTCCAAGCTCTGAGCTGTCAATACAGAGCCTGATGCGGGGCTCGAACTCATAAACCTCAAGATCATGACCTGAGCTGAAGTCAGATGCTTAACTGACTGAGCCAGCCAGGAGTCCCTACAATTATCCAAATTCTTAAACACATCTTTGGACATAGAAACATTTCCCTAATGACTCAAGATCATTATATTAAATAATACTCATTATTTGATTGGGTGATAATACATTTGTGCCAACTCTTTAACTTTTTTGCTCCTGTCTCCACATTAAGACTACATGGTATTTTTTTTTGGTAGTTTTATAACTACATGAAAAAGCCCCTTTCAAACACTGCTTATAATTTTTATGGCTGAAAACCTATGTAACCAACTAAAAGAACTGTGTGTTAAATAAGAGTCAGGATCTAAGTGCAGGCCTAATAAAAAAGTAAGCAATTCAATATAGTAACTTTGTGATAACTATTTCTTGTATACTAAGGTCCTCAGCAGGGGCTCAGTGGCCAAAGTCTATAAAGTCTCACCTTGGCTTAAGGAGTCTTTAATTAGTCCCAGAATCTAAAAATGTTTGACCTTCTTGGACCAAAACTTGAGATGTCTTGCTCTCCTTTTTTCTGAGAAGAAGTGTTGAAGAATCTAGTACCTAAGTTTCCCACAGAATAAGCTGACAACAGCAGCTTTTACCAAACAACTCCATTGTGGTCCAGAATAATTTGGTGGAAGAATTACCATGTATTTTTGGCATGACATGTCATCATCTTTACTTTTATTGTTGAAGATCAGATCAAATTCCATAGTCCACCTTTGGAATATATTATGGTTGCATCAAAAAGTATCTCTACTATAGTCAACAGGTGAAGTGCACTTAAAACCAAAGAGAAACAGGGATTCCAAGAATTTACTCATCCTATTTTCTTCCTGCATGGAAATGTCCTTCCCACTCTGTCACCTAGTCAACTGCATCCTTCTCCACCCAGCTCACATATCACTCAGCAGTGTACTGCTCAGCAGAGGCAGTAACGTTCTCTTTGTGCCACCAACTACTGAATTTTGTACATATATCTATTATAGTATAAATCACCCTGTTGTAATCTGCTTGTTCTTTCTTCTCCCTTATTACACTTTGAACACCTGATAGCAGAATGCTACTTTCATTTTTTTAAAACCCCAAAACTAAGAATGCCTGGTCCACAATAAATGCTTTTAGAATGAATGGAGTTCAATTAAATATCATACCTAACACTCACCTATGTATAATTCTGCTCACTAGAAGAGTAGAAATAATCTCCGTTATAAAAACAAAACCATGAAAATATTACTTGGTCACTTAAAAACCAAAAAGAGAGAGGGAGGCAAGAATAGAAACAAACAGAACCCCCCTGCCCCAGTTATTATTATTACTTTTTAAATGTTTATTTATTTATTTGGAGAGAGAGGGAGGGGAGGGCAGAGAGAGAGAGAGAGAGAGAGAGAGACAGAGAGAGAGAGAGTTAGAAAGAATCCCAAGCAGACACCGTGCTGCCAGCACAGAGCCGGATGCAGGGTTCGAACTCCCGAACCGTGAGATCATGACCTGAGCCAAAACCAAGCTTAACCAACTGAGCAACCCAGGCGCCCCAACCAAAAGTTATTATCCAGTACTATTTGGAATTAACTTATTTTCTTATTTGAAGATGGGAAAGACATGTACACCACCAATGAAAGAAAATAATTGACCTACAGGAGTCTAGCTATCTAAATTCTGCTTTTTGGTGTATAATAAACTTCTTGGTAGAACCATAAAAACGCTGCCCAGTTTTTAAGTTTCTTAAATTTTTTTTTTTAATTTTTATCTACTTTTTTGAGAGAGAGACACAGCGTGAGCAGGGGAGGTGCAGAGAGAGGGAGATACAGAATCCGAAACAGGCTCCAGGCTCTGAGCTGTCAGTACAGAGCCCAACACGGGGACTCAACTCACAGACTGCAAGATCATGACCTGAGCAAAAGTCGGATGCCTAACCAACTGAGCCACCCAGGTGCCCCAAGTTTTTAGCTGTAAGTAAGTTTAAGCTGTAAGTTTCTTTAGCTGTAAAACAGGAATGTAACCAGCCCTTCACCTTCAGATTACTTTACAAAATTCACAACTGAGAAAGCAAAAACCTGGCCATAAAGATACACAGGCAGGCAATACCTGAGAGAATTTCATAAAATCAGTTCCAGCATGGTAATCCTCTCAGCTGGCACACTCAAGAACTTACCGACAGCACACCTCACATGGATCCACCCACAGAGTGAGTTCCTTTGGCAAGCCTAGATCACTGTACAAGATGCAGCTGTTCTCACAGGCTTTCAGGACATCAGGATCAACTCTCTGAAACTTATTGACACGAATGCATCTACAACAAAGTAGAATAATGTTAATAGCTTTAATTGAATCTTAATCATAAACCTCATTATATTACTAGTATTTGCCAATGTGAATTTAAAACAAACAAACCCTGGCAGAGAATGCTGGAGCATATGTATCCTAAGTAGATAATAAATGCGAACTAAAGGCAAAGAGGAAGCATCAACAAGACTACTCAGCCTGGTGGAAAGAGGAGGGCTTCTGTGCGAGCCCAGAGAAATCTGAAGAACTGACTCTACCTCATTTTAGCCAGAAACTACTCAATCTCACAGGTCCATGAAATGAGCAAGGAGTATTAAAGTTGCATGAAATTACTTAAGAGTTCTAAAGGTAGTATTAATGGGCCAAGTTACTATATAACAAAATCTCCACAACTAACAAAAGACCTTAACCAATGTTTAAAATATTTTTAAATTCTTGTGATTTGATCATTTCCTTGCTCATACATCCCAGATAATAAGTGTTAAGAAATACCTATCATTGTTCTAAAATACAGAATCAGTCTAAGACACAGAACTATTCATATCACATAGTTAAGATTAAAATACAGTCCAAAGTATTATTGGCTTATCTCATTTATTTGTTACCAAAGGGTTTTCATAAAAAAAAAAAAAGTTGTCAAAATAACTGAAAAAAAAATTTTTGAAAAAAAATTTTAAACCAATGTAGCCTCTGTTCCATTTTTTAAACCTAAGAAATACCACCTCTACCTAATGGAATGCTCAAAGATGACTCCCAGGATGAACGCAAAAATACATACTTATTTAAGCATTTTGATTATGTAACAGAAATGGTGGGTACAATAAAAGTATTTAATGCCTACAACTAAGAAATCAATCATGAGAACCCGGTTTTAGTACCAGTCCCAGCACTTATTTATTGGGTGAATTCAGATTAAGTCATTTCACTTCTTCCTCAGATCCAAAGTTCTAAAATATGGAACATACAAGTTTGCTGAAAAATAGTAATTATACCATTAAATAAAACAATACAAATAGAAAAACATGCTATTTAAAGTTTTAAAAATTATTTTATTAGTTGATTTCAATTTTCATTTAAAACAGTGAAAAAATTCTCCTTAACAGTGAATACAGATTTCTAAATAATTCTTTCTCAAAGTTTACTATAAAATGGACAGTTTACTAGATGCTTCGCATGTATTAATTCTTCTAATTTTCATATTATCCTGTAAGTTAGATACCACTTCCCCACTGTAAGAAAAAAAGGAGGCAGAGTCTGAGTATTTTGCCCAACATCACAACTAGAAAGTGGTGAATTCAAGGGTCAAATCTGGACAAGACTCTAAAATCTCTTTTATTAAATACCCTATTCTGTCTGTACTAATCTTAACATCACCATTAACAAGTAAGCAATTCAGAGTGAAAAAATTATTTTATGCACGTAAGATGCTATTTGTTCCTTTATTTAAGATGGCCCTATGTTTACAAATTGCAGTGCTGTGTAAGTTGATTCAAAAGCCTCATGTGCCCTAGGATCAAAAGCAGTTATAGGTAAGATAGATGTTAGATGTATGTGTTTTTGTTATTTACAGTAAGGATGATGTAGACTCTAAGCTTAAAAAATATATATGTAAATAAAGATGCTTAAAGACTCTGCTTCAACAAAATTTGCATACCTTACATATTTTTGTGCTGTTTTTTTAAACTCTTTATGCTGTGACTACTCATCCATTAGCCAGTCTTCAAAAACAAGATTTTAAAAGTTGCATAAAAATAGTCTATCATTTACTTAATGTTGACAGTTATTTCCAATTTTTTGCAATTATAAAGAAACATCCATATTCATACATATTTATCTGCATTTCTGATTATACTTCTGGAAGAGATTTTTAGGAGACTTACTGTTCAAAGAGTAGGAGTATTTTTACAGATCTTGATAATATTGCCAAATTGCCCTATAAACGCCTCTTATTTGTATATATCGTGGAGAAACTCTTTTAATTTATAAACACTTTAGAAGAAAATGAACACTTACAACCTACTCTATGGATTCAAGACTCTTACTGATTAATCCTACATTCTATTCATTTTTATAATAGTAACAACCCACCATTAAGTCTAATAGTTTTCTACTTCAAAGACCGCTTCAAAATGACTCAATAATGATACTTCTGATCATATGCCAATTTAATCCTGTTTAGCTAATTTTTTTCCTCAAGTTTTTAGAATTAATGGAAATGAAACTGTACACTGTCTGACCTTTAAGCATTTACTTGACAGTGTCTCCTTTTTCAGTAATAGTAAAAGTTGTCTTGGCACTTCCAAAAAAGTCTTTGTCCAATGTCAATTACATCAGTGTAAAAGCCTCAACAGCTCTAACTTAAAAAAGCTGTTCACTCTATCAGATATGAAGATGTGCAGAAAAAAATTAAGAGAATCAAGCGAGAAGATAAAAAATATATTGAGTCTGCTTTATATAGAACATCCACATTTCTACTTTAATTCGCCACATTTTCCAAATTACTAGGAAACCTCCATGGATAAAAATGAAGAGGAAAATACATCAATAAATTTGATTCTTTTCTTTTCAATAGAATACATGCTCACCTGTGGCTTCTAGGAAATGAGAACTAAACAAATCATATTTTCACTTCCCTTGTAGATTCCCTGAATAGTCTTGCACTTGCTACAGCTCAGCAAATGAAATGAAGTCCTTTTTACATCAAAGCACAGAAGTGCTGATGGGGGCAGCAATATGCATAAATAAAAGAATTTCTGTAGTCACACTGTTTTATTTTTTTGTGGCCACCTCCACAAATGGGGCACGGTTTGACAGCTGAGTTCATTTAGTAGAACCCAGGTTCTCAATACAGTGGTCACATAAATACCAGGGAATAAGCATGCCAGGACATGCTTTGCAGGAGGCTGCTCTTTAAGCTAAAAATGTAACTTTTTTTTTTTAAGGTTTACTTATTTCTGAGAGAGAAAGTTCTAGCAGGGTAGGGGCAGAGAGAGAAGGAAACACAAAATCTGAAGCAGGCTCCAGGCTCTGAGCTGTCAGCACAGAGTCTAAAGTGGGGCTTGAACTCATGAACTGTGAGATCATGAACTGAGCCGAAGTCAGATGCTTAACCAACTGAGTCACCTAGGCGCCCCTAAAAATGTAACTTATAAACCAGAGTACAACAGACAGCTGCAAGTGAGAGTTATTTTCCCTCTCAGAGACAAGGCAGCGGTTAAACTGTGGTATGCAGAAGCCCTAAAGAATTTAGGGTCAGTGAGACCTGACTTTAAAACGCAGAGCTAATATTTACCAGTTGTAGATCATAACAAATTATCTTCATCAATAGAACAGTTATAGTGGTTTCTACCATAAAGAATTATGCATAGTATAAATGCAATTATTCTTGTGTCAAAATGCATTAGGTGTCTAATACTCAGCTCTCTTTTGCCATAAAACTTTTATTTTTTCCAAAAACGTGTAACACGTAATTCACTTGCAGAAACAAAGAAACTCATTTCTCTCAACTCTTACCGTGCCCATTTACGGATAGGTTTTAGGGATCTTCTAGAATTGTGAAAACCCTCAAGTACCTGTGATACATAAAGAAATCCACTCAAGCAGAAACCAAACTACAATCACAAGACTAACTCCCATAAGCCAACAGTATTGGCCTCCCAAGTCCAGACAGTGGGACACCAACAACAAATACTTGTATTTTAAAATGTGTAAGGAAAAAAATACCAAAGTCACCCCAGAGTTCTGTATTTTGCAGACTAACTGTGAAAGAAATGGACTGGATACCCCCTCAGTCCTCTGGCCTTGCACTCATTTCAGGTGCTATCAGCCTCTCCACTTAGTCCAATCCAACTGTCCAATTTAATCCTTTACCTGTAGGCCTGTCCTTTTGATGGTTTTTCTGGATACCAGTGATTTTTATATTTTTCTTGAAGTATAAGAGTCAATTTCTCAGCAAACCTCTCAACTGCCTCTTTTTTCAACTTATCATGTTTTCGAACTAGCCTTGTGAAAAAGAAGACAACAGCAGCAATTTCGTTCTTCATCTTTCCCTGCAAAGATAAAACAGTTTTTCTCAAAAAACGGAACATAAAAACTGGAAGATAAAGCTCTGCAAAATACCCCTCCTCCACAGCTTCCCTTCTTTTATCTTCTGTTTCACTGGCTCAGATCTGGAAGAGGGAAAAGAACCACTAATTTATACCATAAAGACCTTATAATAATACTATCTAAAAACCGTATCACTTAGCTTTGTGAAGTTCAATAAAGAGAGCACACCAAATTGCTCCTGTTGGCTAAAATAAATCAGAGATAGTATATACTTTTTACTAAATTTGTCAACATTTAGCTACAATAATTTAAGTTTAAAATTTTGTGAAATAATTTGAACTTTAAAACACAAGTCCACTTTGAAAGCCAGCATTGTATAGCTACTATAGAAAACAGTGGCAATTCCTAAAAACATTAGACAGAATTATCATAAGACCAATCAATTCTACACTCATAGCTATATATACCCAAAAGAAATGAAAACCTACTTCTACACAAAAACGTGTACACAAGTGTCAATATTAGCATTATTCATAGCAGCCAAAAAGTGGAAGCACTCAAATGTTCAACTGATGGACATTTGTCAACTGAGGGACAAATAAATGTGGTATATACATGCAATGGAATATTATTCAGCAACAAAAAGAAGAATGGCATGATATACTGATACATGCTACAACACAGGTGAAGCTCAAACACACTGTGTTAAGGGAAAGAAGGCAGTTACAAGAGACCAAACATTGTATGACTTCATTTATAGGAGTTTTCCAGAATATGCAAATCTACATAGACAAAAAGTAGGTTGGTGGTCTAGGGGCAGGAGTGATAGGGGAAAGGAGAAGAGATGTCAGTGAGTACAGGGTTTCCTTGTAGGGTGAAGAAAATGTCCTAAATTGATTGTGGTGATGGCTGCACAACTTTGTGAATATACTAAAACTAATGAACTGTAGACTTTAAATGTGTATGTTGTATGCTAGGTGAATCCTATTTGAACAAAGCTGTTACACATAAAGAAAAAATTCAGCAATGAGTTTCTATTATAAGCATTCTTTCAGGAACAGAAATCTATTTGCCTAAAAGATATGACCAAAAATAGTCGCTCTATCAAAACATATTTAAGAGAGCAGAAATTCAGGGTCATCTACAGAAAAATCAAACTAAAAGAAATAATTAGAGATTTAGCTGCATTCTGGAACTGCCTCAAGACTCTTTAAATGGCAGATCTGATTTATCATTGATTAATCCATAAAGGCAAAAACCTTGTCCTGGGATTGTTTCGATGTATATTCTGGCTTTACACGATGAGCTCATTCATTTGGCTGCTGGAAGTAACTTGGAGTTATTCACATGCTGCATTTACCAAGCAGTATCACCCTTTCCAGAGCCAATTATTAAAGACATACAGCGTCTGCTATATTTAGTATAAAAACCAACTAACCAACTGATAGTTTTTGTGTTCTCACACGTTTGTTTTCTCACACCTCTTAAAATCCCTCTTCATAATATAATTCCTTTACTCCTTGTGCAAATTCAAACAAGGGATCTCACTGTGAAAGAAATTCTAGTTATCTGAGAAGTGTGCTGGCAGCCATACCCACTCTGATCCTGGATGGGAAGACACCCAAACCTTTCTCCTGGAACCACAGAATGCCAGCTACCAGACAAGTACTAGGTTGCATATAAGAGCGTGCAGGTACACACAATCTCTGCCTTCTGCAACTGCTGTGAGGCGTACTCCTAAAAAAATGTTGAGCCATTTCCACTTCATAAGGCTGTATTTATATTCCACCGCGTTATGATGGAAAAGATAGCCCACTGCAATTTAATATACGGTTTGAGATGAAAGTTGCTTGTTGATGGAACTACGTTGGCTTCCATCTCATCAAAGAAAACAAGGAACCACACTAAAGTACTGAATCCTTAACTAGACCATTCTTCTCATTCATTAAATTTGTCTACTATGTTCTACATATCTGAGTTCAGGGTTTTGTTCTCATTTTTGTTTTGTTCTGTTTCCTATCAAAAATTAAAAAAAAAAAAAAGGAAGGAAAGAACCACTTAGTGGTTGCTATTGGTTGTAACATAGGATGAGTCATATGGAATTACTTTTTTTTTTTTTCGGTTTGAAGGAATGATGCCTGGAATAGCAGAAAAATTAACCCACTCCCACCAGTTAGAATTCTGGGAGTACCAAAAGGTAAACGAGGTAGTTATAAAGTCAGAGAAAGAGAAACTGGAAGCAAGCAGATCCAGTAAGACCAAAGGCGTCTTAAGTAGCCGCAATTCCTCCACCCACACCGCGAGCGAAAAGCTCCCATTTTAAATATCGCACGGTGACGTCATCCTGGGACGTAGTCACCGCGGCGGCGGCTCAAGTTCGACTTTGTTCCACAGGCTCCTCCGCTCACAGCGGCGTGCACAAAATCCAAAGGAAAACCAAGCTCAGCCTTCCAGGAGTTTATAACTTTGCACTTTTCCCTGTGTTGTAACGAAAGGCTAATCGCAACCGTTTCCAGAAACAAATATTCCTGATAGACATTCCCAAGGTTGAGGAAGCGGGGATCCCGGCCGTGGGGGTGAGGAGCCCTTGACCAGCCTCCGCGGCGTTACAAAGCGGGCTCCGGGCGAGGAGGAGAGACAGGATTTCCCACGGGGCCGGGACTCGGACTTTTTAAGCCATCAAAAACCTGCTGCTAAGCACTCACGCTTGGGTTTTAAGAGTGCTAGGTGAGTAGGCATCAAACATCTCCACCCACTCTGGAAAGAACGGCCTGCGAGCGCGTCCAACTTCTGCAATCGCGGTTTTCCCCGAGTTAAGCGGGGGAAGGGCCCTGGAGCCCCATTCCCCTCCTCCCCCGCAAACAGCCTCGCGGGGTGCGTCTTCCCGTTCGCCCGGCGGTCCGCGGCCGCCGGCCAGGTTCCAGCCTCCGGGGGGCCCTGGGTTCCAGGACGGCGCTCCCCTCAGGCGCGACCCCCCGGAGAGCAAGCCGGGTCCCCGGCTTGGGAAAACGCACGGACGCGGAAGGGTGGTGGGAAGGAGCAAGGCTGTCGCCCACCCCGAGCGGAGAGTAACGCGCGGTGGAAACGTGGCAGGAGCCTCGAGGCGGCGTCTCCTCCGTCCCCATCCCGCCGAGGGTCGTGCGGAAACCCTCTCGGGCCGCCCCCCTCGGTCCACAGTCCTTCCTTCTTGCCGAGCAGGGCCGATGCAATCCGGTTCGATCCCACACTCCTCCCCCTTCCCTGGCGCGCCGCCCGCCGCGAGCCTTCGACGTGGCCT